TGATCCGGAATAAATCAAACGTTTATTTCGGCACTCCCTGTATACCAGAAAACAGCCATCGTCGCGTCGACGATCGATCGCCTAAATACGAAACTGAAAATAATATATTTACAACTAATTCACGGCTTTCGTATACTCGAGGCGATGTATCGTCGCGAGACACGAAGTTAGGGACAATATTTCTTTGGATTTTGCCAATCCCGATGGGATTTCTGAATTCTGAATTCTGTGGGAATTAGGATTGCTCGTTTAAGAGTTAGTCTGGAACATGGAAACGGAATGAGTCAAAGAAACGCGGAGACGACGTGTAGTGAGAGTCGTCCGGACTTGAAAGTAAATCGGGTTTCTTTTTAAAAAGATTGGATAGAATCGTTAAAATAGTGATACACTTAAATCAACGGTGAATCAAACCTCAAAAAAAAAAGAAAACTGGGTGGCTTTCCCAATAAACAAAGAAAATGAAGGAAATCAAATTAGACCCCACACTCCAGATTTGACTAGGAAGTCTTTTAAGAAGATTGGGTAAACAGTGGAACTGTGATACACTTGACCCAGTTGTCAATCCAATCTCAAAAAAAAAATTGTTTTCCAAAAGAAATAAAGTGAAAATAATTTTGAATATGAACCAACACTTTCCGGCTATTGAAAGTAACTAGTAAAACGATTATAAAAGAAAATTTCTTATCTTAAGTTATAGGGTGGCTGGCACTACGGCTTCCGACACTAACAAAATTCTCTATTTTAGACGTTAAATGTGGACCAGGGTAGCAGCAGGAGAACAGAAGCGCCTACGGTGGTCAGGAGTCAAGAGAAAGAATTTCTTTGCACCTGTTAATTTATGTCCCTGAGCAGACGAACTCGGATGCCAAGCAATTTCGAAGTGGGAGACACCACCTCCAGTTTTCACTGTTTACAAGTGATGAAATAAAAAATGTCCTTCTGATACCCTGCCGAATAAACCTAGATAAATTACATGAAATTGATTCTTCAAATCCGAATTTGGATTTCGGTAAATACGGAACTATTCCACGGGGACTCTCGCAATGGGCCTTGTTCACATGTGAGATATGCTGTTTTATAAAGTATATTGTAATAGTTAGTCACTATACAAGTTATTCTAAATAATCACTTTGTTAAAAAAGCCAAAAGTTTTTAAAGTAAAACCATTTATAATTTAAAATGTGTACGTCATCGGTAATAGATCAATCAGCTTGAGTCAAAGTTTTGTTTGTTATACAGAACCAAGCCAACGAACAAACTGACACATAGAATGTCGAAGTGAACGTGGATCTTAGTGACACTTAAAAATTAACACCACCTAGACCACCTAACCTAACATTCGTTGTTATTTTGTTTATTTTTTTCTCGATTCTCGATTTATTTCTTTTGTCTTCGCTCATTGGTTTAATTTTATTATTAATACGAGTTTGTCAGATAGATTTATAAAAACTGATTCAACTATTTTACCCATTGTAGACCAAGTTATGATTACTTCATTTTCAACTGATCTGCCTTGATGTTACCCAGAATCCCAGAGTGGCCTGGAATCCATGCCAGAAATATTTTGGTATGTTCATCTTTTGCGAGTAAGATACCGTCCTTAGTCAAGAAGGAACAATGTTCAGTCTCCCTGGAAAAGCATGATCTTGCTATTTTTTGAAGTGCAGCTTTGGAGTCTGAGAGGATAATGGATTAAACGATGTTTTTGTCTAATATTACTTGCAAGGCCTTGTTGATAGCTACAACTTCAGCTGTACAAATTTAAGTATGGTAAGGAAGCTTACTTGAGAATACATGATCTATATCTGGACTATACACTCCAAACCCTGAGTGACCGGAAAAGTCTATTGAGCCATCGGTAAAGAACTTTGTGTAAGATGGGTATTTTATGATGATATTCTGATATTGTACAATTCCTTTACTTTCAGATTTAGTAGCGCCAATGTTTACGATAGGAATAAAGGCCAATTGGGGTTGTAAATCAAATTTATAACATTATTAAAGTAAGAATTCCAATCTGCTTTGTTGAAGTTTCTTCTATTGTTAGGGGTGGGAGGGCCATCTAACATTTGATCGGGAAATGGTCACTAAAGCCCAAATCCGGAATCACTTCCCAAGTTGATTTATGAGCAAAATCTATTGAACAAAAGGTTAAATCAACGACAGATTTACCACCATTTGGTGGAGAAATTCGAGTAAGAGAGCCATCATTTAAAAACACTAATTGTAAAGAATCTAAAGAATTTATTATATTTTTACCGTTTGAGCTATTTGAGGAGCTTCCCCAACACACATGATTACAATTTAAGTCCCCCATAATCAAAAGAGGTTTGTTAAATGTCTGAATAAAGTTAGACCAATTATTTTTGGAAATAAATAGATATATGGCTTGAACTTGAGTTGGAAGATCTAGAGAGTAAATCTAAATTGTTTTTAATTAAACAGGCTATACCTCCACAGCCATCCAATCTATCATTTCTCAATGTTTGGTAACTTCTACACCTTAACCTATAATCTTCCATCATCCAAGTTTCATTAAGTAGGATTATGTCTGGATTATGGTCCTTAATTAAGATCTTTAGATTATCTATGTTAGAGTTAAAAGAGCGAATGTTCCATTGAATAATGGTTAATGGATCGAAGAGCATAATAATAGCTGAATCTTCAGAGTACTCCATTAGACTTGACTGAGAGAAATAATTTGAAGGTTTTGCTGGACCTGTAGGAGAAGCATTGGGTTGTGATACAGAATAAAGAGTTGATAATATTACCTATGGAAGTCATGACTAACTTCTTGTGTTGGTCCGATAAGCTATCTAAGGCTTGAATAACATCTATTTTAATATTATTTCTTTCCTCAGGCCGAAAGGGAGACGATAGGTGTCAAGTTGGGAGACTGGATGATCTTCCCGATGGACTAATTAAGCATTCTTGATGCTTTTTCTTATCATATTCATCATCATGTGATCTTCTTCGTTTTGGTGTTCTTATTTTTTGACTGTAGCTGGGTAACCTTGTATTAGACAAGACTTCTGATCTTCTTTGGGAGACTGGGATACCATTTTGATTTGTATCCCTGTTAGGAAGGGCTGGAAAGTCATTAATATTAGGGATAGGGTTTTCTCTAATTTTTGGAATTTTTTGGTTGGCTTCGAAGTAAGATATGTTCGAAAATGACATTAGTTGCTTGATTTATTTTTGTCTATTATATTCAGGGCAATTAAACTCGTTGGAACTGTGTTCCGTAGATTTACAATAAAACAATACTTACTGCAAGTAACATCTGACTCATGGGATTTACCACACTTTATGCATTTGGCCTTTTCGCTACATTGATTAATACGATGTCCATAAAGCAAGCAATTATGACATTCCATTACTGGGGTGATATATGTTACAACTCTGGGAGACTATAAATTGAAATTTCTTAAAAAATCATTTTTCCTGAAAAAGTAATACAAATCGTACCTGTTGGTACATAGGAGATTTCTTTACCAGATTCCATAACTCTTCTATTTAGACGTTTGACATGAAGAAGTTTACAATTCACTAAATGAGTTTCAGTTGCCTCTTTAATTTCATCTGTAAAAGATCTGTCCACATACCTTACAAGAGACATTGTGTGATGGAATAAAAACTTCATAACCTTTATTTTCCATTTATTTATCCTCTATAAATTGGTTGGCAGCTTGAGCATTGGTAAAGATCACACCTATACGGTTTTTTCCTTTTCATACTACTTTAAGGATATCCTTCAGTTTCAGATTAAAAATGGTTTTTGCTAGACTTAGCATATGAAGATTTCCAAGATTATTTTTTTTCTTGGACATACACTTCGAAGGGGCCCGAGTCTGTGTTCGAATACAAGTTTTTAACCCTCAGCGGAGGATATGGAGGATCCGGCGGATCCTTGACCCCCAACTCCATGTGGGTTGGAGGTTAAGTTAACCTCTATTTGTTTTGTGTCACAAAAATATGTTTATCTACAATTACTTACTAAAAATAGGAGGAAAATAGGTTGAAAATACACAGGATGGTGTTAGTAAAGCCCAAATAACAAAAGATTGTTTAAGTTTCACTGACAGCGATGTTTACACTTCGGATGTCAAAGCAAAAGTCCAAGATCCCATAGTTCTGACTCACCCAGTATACAGGGTGGCTCACGCTCAACGGGACGGAGCTTTATGGGAAAACGACCAAAGATATAAAAAATTCGTTTGGGAGGAATACGTAGGTTACAGACGGCTACAATTTAAAATTTGTTAGATATATACAGGATGTCCCACATAAGAAAAAAAATTAGTTCATTAAAAATTATTCAAACAAGAGTAAACAATTAATTTCTGGGAGTCTTTTTTTCCTTAAAAATTCAAATAAATCGAAAACTATTAATAATAGTAATAGGGAACCTTTAGTTAACTGACATTATTTTTGTTGTAGTTTTTAATTCTAAAATAAAAAACAGGGTGTTCCATTAAAAATAATATAACTTTGTATATTTTCTCTTATGTGGGACATCCTGTATACATCTAACAAATTTTAAATTGTAGCCGTCTGTAACCTACGTATTCCTTTCAAACGAATTTTTTATATCTTTGGTCGTTTTCCCATAAAGCTCCGTCCCGTTGAGCGTGAGCCACCCTGTATAAGGCCCTAACCTTAAATGTTCTTATTTGTTATGTACGATGTTTTTGTCGTTATGGAAGTGTTATTTTTAGAAGATTTTTTATAATTAATGTATCATATACAGGTCAAATTTAAAACTGCCCATTGGCAACTAATTCATTTCAGATTTTAAAAGTAGTTTTATTATCTTTTTCCTAATACAATGTTATATTTTTTGAAACAACTAACCAGATAGTTTAAAGAAAAGTAAGTCAATATAATTAAAAAAGATAAGTTGTTAATTAAAGAAGTGAATTTTAAAAACATTGGCGCCAAATGAGAAACAACAAAAGAATGTGGTTTCGCATTTCGCATATTTTAAAACTAAATGAAATTATTTCGAACGTACAAAACTGTAATTTACAGAACGACGCGTAATTCCCTCTAGCACCTAATGATTCATGTGGTTATTTATCGATATATTTATTTTAACAGTTCACTGTGTGCTGATAAACTCTATTAAAATGTTGTGCTTTTTAATATTATCCAGTTTCTTGTTATACGGAACTAAATGCCAAGATGATTCTGAAGGTTTATATACATCCAAGGTCCTTCGTAATAATAATTCCTTACTTTTGGAATACGAAGATTCCAGATACTTTTTTAATACAGAGTTTGAAGTAAGGATTTTTTTTTATTATTATCTGATAATACAAATCTTATAAACAATTTAATTTTTTTTATTTCCTATTTTAGGCCAATTTCTTCAGCGCATTTCAGTTTTGCAAAAAACGAAACATGGAGCTATTGAGTATTGAAAGTGCCGATGAAAATAATAGAATTGGACTGTTTCTTGTAGAAAAAGGTAAATAAAATAACCTAAATAATGGAACTCTTACATTATATAGGACGTAACTTTTAATCTCAGCTCAACACATTATTTATCTATGGTTAGACTTCTTTAAGCCTGTAAATATTATTTTCTTGAGGCATTATTACAAAAAACAATCCCAACTAATAATAATGATGGTAAAAATGCTGTGTACCTATATACCGGGTGTCCCAGATTTTTTTGCCCAGCGGATATCTCGGTTATTTAATGATATAAAATTGTAAAAAAAAATATGAATAATATTTGTCTAGTAGCCTTTTAAATTCCACTACATAAAGTTATATTCATCAATCCACCCCATAGGAACAACCCCTAACTTTTTTTTTTCAAATGTCACCCCTATATTTTTTTTCGCTGATATAAATACTCAATTTGTCCCAAATACAACGATATGATTTTTGATATACTTTACAGAGTCATAAAGCCGGTAAAGACTAAAAACCAATGTTGTGGTTAAAGTCATTAATAATTAGTTTACATTTTATCATTTTATTATATTAAAAAATAACAAATCCAATGAATAGGTAAACCTCTTAATATGTTTTTTAAATAATTGAATATTTACAAAAATTGTTCGAAATGGCCCCCATTACTTGCCAAACATGCTTCAAAACGTCGAATGAGTTCACGAGTACATGACGCTGTAATCATTTCTGGTGTAATGTTATTGCAGGCTTGTACTATTTTATTTTGCAAATCTTCTAAATTCAATGGCTGTGTTTCAAATACCACGGTCTTCAGATATCCCCATAAAAAAAAATCTAGAGGCGATAAATCTGGTGAACGCGCAGGCCACCTCAAAGGGCCGCTGTTTCCGATCCACTGATTTTCAAAGCGTTCGTTTAAAAATTGGGTAACTAAATTACTATTATGTGGAGGAGCTCCATCTTGTTGCCACCACATAGCACCTCTTTCTTGTATTGGAATTTCTTCAAGAAGTTCTGGAAGGTCATTTTCAAGAAAGTGTAAGTACCTAGCACCAGTTAACGTACCTTGAAAAAAATAGGGACCTATCAGTCGTCCCTGAAATAATCCACACCACACATTTACTCCCCAGATGGTCTGAAAGTTAGTTTCCCTAACCCAGTGAGGGTTTTCAGGAGACCAATAATGCATATTGTGACGATTTACAGTAGCATTATTGTGAAACCTTGATTCGTCACTCCACAATATCTGGTTCAAAATGTTGGGATTTCGTTCCATTAAATCTTCAAAATGTGCTATTAATGTTATCCTTCTTTCGAAATCTCCAGCTCTAAGTTCCTGATGCAAATGAATTTTAAACGGATGAAAATTATAGGATTTTAGGATTCTTTGTACTGACGACTTACTAATATGAACCTCGTTAGCTAGGTTTTGCGTCGATATCTGGGGATGTACTTGCACATAAGCTAATACATTAATGCACATTTCTTCAGTTCTTACAGCAGCAGCATGTTGACGATGTTTGTCTTTTCCTGGAAATGACCCTTCTCTCATCCTAGTCTCAACATAAGAATATGTTTTACGTGATGGTTGTCGGCGCTCAGGAAACCTCTGTTGGTACAAGTGTACAGCAGCACGAGAATTTTTTTGGCACTCACCAAAAATTAAAAGCATATCAACATATTCGTTTGGAGTGAATGTAAAGGGCATTTTGTCTGTTGTTTATAGCTAGCGAACAATTTCAGAAATGGTCTAAGCATATCGTTAGTTAGTTATAGGTAACAAAAAAAAAAACAAAAACGAAGCAATTCTAATCAAAATAAAAAGAAAATACCAGGTGATACAAAATTAATGACTTTAACCACAACATTGGTTTTTAGTCTTTACCGGCTTTATGACTCTGTAAAGTATATCAAATATCATATCGTTGCATTCGGGACAAATTGAGTATTTATATCAGCGAAAAAAAATATAGGGGTGACATTTGAAAAAAAAAAGTTAGGGGTTGTTCCTATGGGGTGGATTGATGAATATAACTTTATGTAGTGGAATTTAAAAGGCTACTAGACAAATATTATTCATATTTTTTTTTACAATTTTATATCATTAAATAACCGAGATATCCGCTGGGCAAAAAAATCTGGGACACCCGGTATATAATTTCAACAGTCAGGAATACAAACAATAAAATTGGATAAAAATATAAAAAAAAGACCATCGGAATTTAACAAAAAATTACCCTGAAACGAAAATTTTTAGCACAGGATAAAGACCCAGATTACAATGAAGGTTTTGACTTTTTTGACAAAATTTTCCTATGCTCAGAGATAATGATTGGAAGAAGGTATTATATACACATACATTTTTCGGCGTTTTTCTCAGGTTTTTGTATTTCACTCAAAAAATGTGCGTTTTTATGAAAACTTTATTGGACTTTCTTTGAAGAACAAACGATTTTATATCGATTATGTCTAAATACATTTTTTCAAACTTCATATTTTTGTCGCTAAATTGCAGAATCCATAATGTTGCAACCACAAATTTTTTTTAACGAAGTGGGCAGTTTTGACAAAAAATGAATTTTGTGAAAGGTTATATCACTAAGCTTCAAAATATAAAAGGTGATTTATTTGTTGGAAGGTATTCTATATTAAGAAAAGTACAAAAACCACGATTCTAAAATTTCCCCCGTCAAATGTAACCATTTTCTCAATATATAATAATTTTAATTCCGTTTTAGGAAGTATGAATTTTAAATCCGATACTATGACTAGTTTTCGAGATACAGGGCGTTAAAGTGGAGAATTGCTGATTTTAGTTATTTTTTCTTCAAACTGAAAAGATAGATTGACTTCATGTATATAAAAGTTTATTATAATTTTTGGTCAGATGTTTATAAAAAATGGCATTTTAAAATATTTACTGTTACAGGGTGATTCACGAATAAATCACAATGTTTTTTTGTAACCACTCAATAATTCTACAGTTGCGCCACAGATAAATTATTTCATTATCTTAATCTCTACCCGTTAACAATTTTGAGGTTAAAAAATTTCGTTATTTGTACTTTTAATACAGGGTGAGCCATGCAGCCAACCACCAAAAATAATTGTTTTCAAATTATTAAAACGGGACCTTGAATTTCTTTAGGGAGTTTTGAATAAGTTACATTATGCATGTAACCATAAGATTTTGAAATATAAGTACAGGATAATATAACTGTTTTATAATTACCTATCAAATATATCGGTATACCATATCATTTTCCGATATAAGTGACAAGTTTTTATTCACGGAACAATACTGTTGATAATTATTCATTTTATTATTTAGGTACTTCACAGTATACGTATAGAGCGAGTTATATAATAAATTAAGAATTATTGTTAAACTTATAATTATTACTCGCTTATTATTAAATAAATGAACTATTTTTAGCAAAAGATTGTGTTAATCCAGGATACTCTATACAGGCAACAATGAAACCTCAGGTGTAAAACGTATATTTCAACAACTTCTAGAAAAATTAACTGAACAATAGAAGTAGAGGTTTCGATATTGGTTTTTACCCAGTTACAACGTTTGTGTGGCAGCATAAAAATCTTGTTTAAATTATAAATCTTAATCAATTGCATTTTTGATTGAACTAGTTTATTTAAATGAAATAACTCTTCTGTCTTTGAACAGTGTCTAGTATGTGAGATACCGCTAAATAAATATAGTCACGATTCGTCAGCTTTGGGAAGTCAATTCTAAAATGATTCCGCTGATAATTTCGCCCAAAAAGTATTTGTACCCCATTAATTTTTTGCAGGTTGTCCAGCATATTTTTTTAAGATAATAAATCAATTAACCTGTATCCTTCACAGCTTATGGTTATGCATATATAGTGATGTATATTAGACGAATTCTTTAAAATCGATATCTAACAATTATTTTTACGGCATTAAGCTATATCTATAGAACTTTCTATTCAATTTAACACGCACTTCCAACACAAAAAAAGATTAATCTTAATTACGTGAATTAGGCCTATTGGGAAAACAACTATAAAAAAAACGCCCAAAAACATCTACCTCTGTGGTGGTATGGAAATGTGGTTAACGTATTTCTTAATTTTTTCATTTGCAATATACTTTCGTATCTATAGTTTCATTCATTCCTGTATGGAATATCCGAAATATCCATATTTTTTTGATAAAAATTATCAACGAAATAATAACTGTTAAAAGTTTAATAATTTTTAATATATTATATAACTCGCTATATATTATGAATTATGTGCCTGTACAATATACGTACCCAGTGTTACGAAATCACCCTATAACATTTTGTAGTCTGCATTAACATTTATTTTATAATCATCCTGTAAAAAACAATTATGGTTTTATTGATTGTATTGATTTTGTCTTTCATCAGAATAAAAGTTATAGTCGAATTTCCGATTTTCTTTCTTAGCCTTGATAATTTATCTAATGTTAATACCAGTATTTAAATTACACCTTCATAAGAAAATGGATAATTATCAACTGTGTATAAAAACGTATCACTAATATCGGAAAATGATGTGGTATTCCGATATATTTGGAATTATAAAACAGTTAGATTATCCTGTACTTATATTTCAAAATCTTATGGTTACATGCATAATGTAACTTACTCAAAAGTCCCTAAAGAAATGAAAGGTCTCGTTTTAATAATTTGAAAACAATTATTTTTGGTGGTTGGCTGCATGGCTCATCCTGTATAAAAAGTACAAATAGCGAAATATTTTAACCTCAACATTGTTAACGGGTAGAGATTAAGATAATGAAATAATTTATCTGTGGCACAACTATAGAATTATTGAGTGTTTGCAAAAATACATTGTGATTTAAATCACCCTGTAAAAGTAAATATTTTAAAATGTCCTTTTTTATGAACATCTGACCAAAAAGTATAATAACCTTTTATATACATTAATCAATCTATCTTTTCAGTTTGAAGAAAAAATATCTAAAATCAGCAATTCTCCACTTTAACGCCCTGTATCTCAAAAAGTATCGGATTTAAAATTCACACTTCCTAAAACGACAGTAAAATTATTATATATTGAGAAAATGGTTACATTTGACGAAGGAAATTTTAGAATCGTGGTTTTTATACTTTTCTTAATAATACCTTCCAACAAATAAATCACCTTTTATATTTTAAAGCTTAAAAGTAGATATATTTTAGTGATATTACCTTTCCCAAAATTCAACTCATAAGTACAGGGTTTTGAATTATTCGTTAAAAAAAAAAAAATTATGTTGTGGTTCTCTCTATAAAACACCATGTATAAGAAATGTGTACTATGCAATATTTTGTCGTCAAAATACCATATTGAGTAGTACTTTTTAAAAATATGCTTCTCTGACCGCACAGTAGAATTAGTGTGATTTTATAAAAAAAAAAATACATTTGTGAATCACCCTCTAATTATACATATTTTTAATTGTACGTGTGTACTAATGTATTACTAAAACTCATAGTAAACGTGTGTATGCATCAGAAATTCAATCTAGCTCGTAAGTTTGCAAATAAAAATTCCCAAAAACTAGGCAATTTTCAACTTTAACACATCGTATATCTAAAACTAGTCATAGGATTGAGTTGGGCCCATTGACACTTTTGGTTACTAGGTTGACTACAACAACATACCAAAGTTTCAGAAAATTTGACGGGTCGCCACTTTGCATAAGAAAAGTGCGGGGTCCTTTTAAGAAAACCTAACCTAATATCTAGTATACTATTTTTATAAAAATTAATGTGGGTGCTTAATATCGACAGTTTACTATGTTTTATATTAAACTAATTTCGTGTTCCTCATCACTGAGGTATTTAATTATTGGTTAATCCCTTAGGGTTTGCTCGTTTACATTTTATGATGTATTGTATTCCAGGTTTTTCAGGGTGGTCATACTAAAATCTAGTAAAAAATCAAATACTTTTTTTCTACTTTGAACAATCCTGAATATAGACCTTTTCCATAAAAACTGTGCTATCATGAATTTTCAAATAAACTATAGCAGTAAAAGTAATATATTTTTAACGAGTACGTTGATTAACAAAAGACGAGATCACATGGTTAACAGTTATTTTTAATTTAATATCGTTATTTTTTAGGACTGTCAGCTCTTCGTTTTTGGACATCGGCAGTTAACCTGGTCAGTCCAACAGCGTGGATCTGGTTGGCCACAGGAAAAGAAATTAAATACTTCAATTGGGACAATGGTGAACCAACGGGAAATATACCGTTTGTATCAAACTATGAAAATTGTATTCAAGCAAGACACGAAGGCAACCGCGGATTTACATGGAACGATTTAAATTGTCATTTCAAAAATTACATCATCTGTGAAGCTCCAATAACTTGCAAGTGTATTAGCCCAAGAAGTATATTTTAAACGGTTTATTATTCAAATAATATGATAGCATCGATAAAGACACCACCAAGCTTGGATTAATAACAAAATCTCTGGGTGCTTAGGGTTCTATCACTACAGATCCCTTATTGAAAATAAAAATAATATAACAAGCGAAAAATTTATTATTGTATTGATTACGAATTATAGGTGCGACTGATATTAATAAAAACAGTAAATAGGATGAAGAAAAATTGGGTAGTTTATGATCATCCGCAAAAGCAGTATATTTCATTATAAAATCTAGATCTATAGTAAAACTTTTTTAACTGTGTATAGAAGTCGTTAAACTAAACATTTTTTTCAAACACCTTAAAACAAAAAAAAAATAAAAATAAAAGTGATACAGAATTAGAAAATCTAAATATTGGCCTGGACTTGTATAGTTAAACGAATTAATAAGTCTACTTATGTTTTTATCTGTTTTTTTGTTTTCTGTTTTTCTTGTGAATATGAATCATAATTCATCGTACACCTACCAGTTTTCGTAATTCATTCTTCAGTAGGTCAGTGGTTTGTTTATCTTTTTAGACAAAAGTTATACATACAAATTTTGGAATAAATTAATGTGAGTTTCATTTGTGAGTTTTTTAAAAAAGTTGTTTATTTTAATTTCTTTACACAGTTTAAAAAGTATCAACTTAGGATTCACTATGTATATAATTAATTTTATGAAAAAATACAAAATAATTTTAAAATAAACGATTTAATTATTAGGTAATATTCTGAAATAATATGTGGGTAGATATTTAATTACTCCTGCCCATAATTTAGAAGGAAATGTATTTCAAATATCTAAATAAACTGTTTTATAATTACTTTATCTTCATTTAATACAAATTAGGTATTTAAATATTGCTTAAATTGTCATTAAACTATATAGACGAAGACAGAATTTCACAGAATATTAAAAAAGGAAATAAAATAAATAATTGCTCGTGTTTTTTGTATCTAATAATAGTAGCTAACTGCATTACTCTTTTTATATTGCTTGCTTACAATTATTTTTAGACAGTATATTAGTTGTAATAATAATTATTTATACACTCTATTACTAGGCTACCTACTGTTACGCTGTTTTTTGGTAAACTCTTCAAACAAAAACTTTCACAATATAAAACTATTATATTAACGTATAACGTCTATCATAAAACCTTTTGGAACCTTCCAGATATTTCTTGACACGGAATGACATTTCCGTTCTCTCTTCTTCTTTTATTCGTACATTTCTTATAATAGCCGCAGGCTACTGCAGGGTGCAGGGTAACATTGCTCCCTCCTCTCCAATTATTCGTCCCGAATAACTTAATTACTGGGACTTGGTTAGAGCCAGCAGAGAGGATCTGGAGTACGGCATAGCGCTTACTTTTCAATGTGAACTACCTTGGGTTTACTTTTCGCTGACAGCTGAATGCGGTAGATCATGTCGTTGGATTTTCTTGTGTAAGGGCCATTCCCAGTTCCGTTCCAGTTTCTTACAAAGTCCTTTTTGGCGCTTGGGATTGTACAGCAATACTGGATCGCCTCTCTCAGAATGTGTTCCTGTTAAATGCATGTCGTTTCTAGCTTTTGCTTTATCGCTGTTGACTTTAAACATTTCATCCATTCTTACCATAATTCGAATTCAAAATTTTGTCCTTGGTCAGAATGCAATTCCATAGGGATTTTATGTCTTGCTACAGTCAACGGTTCCTGATTAGGAATAGGCACACTATAAAAAATAGTCCATCACAACCAAATATTTGTTTCCCCTCTCTGTTAAGGAAAGTGATCCAAGGATATCTATGGCGATTCCTTTAATAGGGTCTTCGGAAAGGTACTGTGATTTTACCTCTGCTTCTTATTTTAGGCTCTTTTCTGTTATTGCAAAAATCACATTTCTTACACCAATCTTCTACATCTTGTCGACAATTATTGATCCTACAAAATATGTCCCGAACTCAAGCCAGTGTCCTTTTATTACCAAAATGTCATCTTTAGCGGCTGCTATAAAGCTACTTCAACACACTTCTGACATGGCTTTCCCACTTCTGGTGCAATAGGCCATCGTGAAGATACAGAGTATCCCGGAATCCAGTACTCTTTAATAGTTCCACTATGTTTGGCTATCTCTTGCCAAGTAGGTCATAATCTTCCTTTTGAGGCTTCTAAGGGTGATTTTTTCTTCGTCATCCTCTGGCTTGTTAGTAGTTACCTGAAGACTAACTTCTTCAACTGGCTCCTATCGTTATTAAAGCATTTTACAATACCGGCATTGTCGTTCTAAACTGGGTCGCCTGTAAAGAATATCTGCTTTGCTATGGAGAAGGCCTGTTCGATGCACTACTTTTTAAGTATTGCTAGAAAGCCGGCTAGGTGTAGGTGACCGGCTTCTTCGGGAGGCATGTCTGCTGTAATTATTTCTTGTTGGACTTTGTGATGGTCTTCGGGAGGTGAATTTCTGGCCTCATTCCCCGATTCTAGAATAAGCTTCTACAGGTTCTTTGAAGGTATCTGATTCTTCCTCAATTGAAGCATTTCTGCTTTCATTTTGGTTGTTTCGTTGCATATTTTGCAAGATGTTTAAGATTTGTGGTAAAATAGGTTAGGAATATAAAAGAGACCAGAGATATAACATACACCGGTGTTTAACCTGCGCAAATATTGCCAATTTCTAAAGAAAGGTTAACGGAGTGGGGGAACTGGGCGGCGACCCGAATTCTGTGACAGGGACTGGACTATGTTTATTAGCATCATAATGAACTATTAGATTTATTTAAAAGATGCTTAATGGAATTTTGTATTATGAAATAAAATTACCGTGATTTTTAATATCAAACAGATGTCACGACAAAGAGAAGACCTTTTATAGAATATTTCGTTAGCGTTTATTTACTACGAACTTTTCTGCAAGAGATTACAGTAAAATGTTGAAATAGAATATTGTTAATAGAGCAAGAAATAATACTCATTGTCTACAAGAATTATAAAAAAAGCATGTGCGCAGGCTAATACTGCAAATCTAACCTTATGAGTTAAACATTATATTTTTTCTACGGCTATTCAATAATATTAAAAATTAGTCAAAATGAGAAAATGCTGTTTTGTATTGTAACTTTAGAAAAAGGTATATTAAGGCTTCTTTCTTTAGCAATTATAATTATTATAGACGATGAGTCACATAAAACTCTAGAAATACATAATATGTCTGAAACCAGACAACGTTTTAAAGTTTAAATCTATTAAAAGTCATTTGGTCGCTAGGGATGGATGATTATCGAAATAAATGATCGATTATTGAAAATAATCGATTATTTTCGATCAGTCGATTATTTTCAAACAATACATTGTTTGTCGTATTTCCTTTAAAATCGACTACTTAATTATGTTTGAAAAATCAAAAATAATCGATTAATTAAAAAGCCAATCAACCGATAAATCAGTGTTTACAAAAAATGATAAAACAATTATCGTTTATTTTAAATAATCGATTATTTTCAAATAATCTATTTTTTTTCGTCCATTGAAACAGATTATTCGATAATCTTTGAAAAATCGAAAATAATCGATTAATCAAAAATAATCGATTAATTAAAAAGTCGATTAACTGATAAATCGATTTTCAAAAAAAAAACAAAATTGTCGATTATTTTAAATAATCGATTATTTTTTATCAATCGATTATTATAATTTATTTTTATTGTATTTCTTTTAAAATCGATAATTTGATTATCTTTGAAATACCGAAAATAATCGATTATTCCAAAATAGTCTCCTAATCGAAAATAACCAATTAATTAAGAAGCCGCTACGATAAACCGATTTTCCAAAAAAATAACCGAATTATCGATTATTTTCTAATATTTTTTTCGTCCATTGAAACAGATTATTCTATCGACTGCCATTATCATCTTTGAAAAATCGAAAATAATCGAATAATCAAAAATAATTGATTAATTAAAAAGTCGATTAACTGATAAATCGATTTTCAAAAAAAAAAACAAAGTTATTTAAATAATCGATTATTTGTATTGTATTTTCTTTAAAATCGAAAAACTGAAATTAATCGATAATTTGGCACATGTCTAGATAGTTGTAAAAAAAAATTTGAAAAAAATTGAAATACTCAATTTGTTTATAAGGAATTTATAAACGAATGGAGGAAAAAATTTTTTTTTAATTAATAAATGTCTTTTCTCGACATTAAAACAGTAATATAATAAATTGAAAAAAAAAAATTTTATAGCGCCATTGTGACTTTTATGTTTTTGTAAACTTTAAAAAATTATTATAAACAAAGTATTAACATTTTTTAAACTTTTATGGAGCTATTTTGTTTTATATGTATGAAAAAGAGCTCCACGAAGCGAAAAAAAATTACGGTAATTATTTAATATTTTTGTCAATTTGTAATGATGAGAGAAATTCTAAAAATTTTGTTAATTAACAATAACCTACTTTGTTGGAAAATTAATTTTTATAAAAAGTTCCAACGGGAATGAATTCTTCTAAGTGTTTAGAATACACCGTAATTTATTTAAATTTTTAAATTTAATTTTATTAACTTAAAAAAAATATTTTATGTAACGTACTCGGTTTCGACGCCGTGCGCGCAACCTAAAAATGGCGCGCGGAAGGCTACTTTGAGCGTTAAATTAAAATTATAAATAATGGAGGTACAGTTCCGGGAGTCGGAACTTATTTATAGCAAATTTCCTCCTCTTTAAGGATCTTTTTTGAAAAATCCAAAAATATGTATACACCATGTTTTTGAGATGTTTAAATGTTTATAACTTTTGCAATTTTTTATGCACTGCAAAATTTTTCTTTACACATTGATCTAGACATTATTCCGGATCGAATGAGCTATTGAACATAATTTTCTTAATAGTATGTCCCAAAAACACGCTTTTGAACTTGTTAATTAGACTATTTTATTGAGATATTTTGTAATTATTCTGTTTACTTTATATTTTAAAATATAATTGTGTTATTGTAAAATGGACTTACGCCAGTTTCAATGCGCTGTAACTTGTTGAGAAAATGCGCATATGCTATAAACCCCCGTGTATCGTAGTTGCCACATGTTCGATCTAAAAGCATGGCTATGCCTAATACAAAATAATAAGTACTGTATTTTATTGAAACACATAAAAATAACTATCTCGTAATTATCATTACTACGGACTATATGGATAATAAAACTTAATAAAATATTAGGTACTAAATTAAACGATTTAAATGATTGGAATCTCTTTGTTTGAAAACTAGTGTTGATAGCAAAATAATTTTAACTTGGTGAAGAATTTCTATAATATACAATATAGGCACCTACATTTGAGCAAATGGTTTTGTATGAAATCTTAGTTCCAAATAAGAATAGTAGTTTGTGAAATAAGAGTGGAGGATATGACAACCATATGGCACGAAGCCGAATTTTGAGCACGATGCCGTAAGCAGTATGGACAATGACTCGAGTTGTACAGTATTTTTTTTCTACGTTCTACTAACGTAAAAACTACAAATATTCAAAATTAAGTTTTTCTACACCCACATGGATATTAGCTAATCTACGAACAGACTACAAAAAGAAAAAGTATGCTCTTATCTTCAAAGGAACGTATATATTTCATATCTATTCTAGGTAGTGAGAACACTGCAAAAAAAAGAAATCCACCTATAACCGTTCATATTTTGATCAACCGACTGATGGTAATTTTTAAAATTTTAAATAAGTAAGAATTCTGTCAAACTAATTGTCCGTATATTTTTTAGTTAGATTAAACATAGATTAAACAACATTAAAATGGGTCATTCTTGTGTAGAATCGATAAATAATAGCATTTCTGGTTTTATTTCGTCTATAATTATAACTAATTTTTTAATTTAAATAAAATTATATGAAGTCAATTTAATTACGAGTAATAAAGCAACAAAAATAAAAAAAATAGATGGTCCTGTGGTCAGCGTTCTTGCCTTCTACACAAATGACTCGAGTTCGATTACATGAAATTAATTTTTTCCTTTTTTCATTTATTTTATTTTAAAAATTATTAAAAGTCATAAAGTATTTTAAAATTGGTTATTTTGTCTTAATAACCTAAAATATTTTTTAATGTGTAAATGTTCGTTAGTGGATCGTAGAAAAAAATATTCTGTACAACTCGAGTGGATTGTCCACATTGCACTCAGACGATTGAACACTCCGCCTTTGGCGTCGTGCTCAAATTTCGTCGTCGTGCGATATCGCCATCATATCCACTCTTGTTGTACAAACTACTATTTCAGTGAATTCTCAGTGTATATTATAATATTATTAGCTTGGATCAAAAGAGACGAATGCTAGACACGAAGTGAACAGAAAAACCCGCATTTAAATTGATCAGGTGGTGTCGGAGCCTCTTAATATTACCGTATATTTGGTAAATTTAAAAAAGTAAATGTGAATTTTTAATAGGAACTAGAGATAACGACATGATGAAGCAATAACATTGCTTTAATGGTTCATGGAAAAAGTTACAATTAATATTTAATTTATTTTAATTTAGATACATAAATTAATAATTTTGTTAAAAAAACGTTATCAAAATCAAGAATATCAGTGTCGCTTCCAGTATATTTTGTTGTGGAAATTATTTTAAAATTAAGGGTTTTATTTTATTTTCATTTTTCAAGAATACACGGTTTAAAGTCATCAAATTTTATTTTACTACACCAGTTACATAATTTTTTGGTAAATTTAATAAAGTTTCATCTATATTTAAGACAAATTTTTTCATACCATTTTTTTATTTCTTTAACCCTGTTGCAAGAACGCCTCTTAAATCCACCAATAGCTAATAACAAGCGTTTTCTAATATTCAACAAAATGATGTACTGATAATGATCACGTGACCAATAAATGGCCGACTGCTGCAATCCAGGATACAAATACTAAAGGTATGCTGACTTTAGATTCAAAATTCGTCCAAACCGCGCATGACGTAATGCGGGACGAACTTTAAGTAAGGGGAATATGGGTTTCCCTCGCAGAACTTGGGCCCTCTAGGGGCGTATTAGGAGTTTTATTAGTTTTATTTAACAAATGACACCATCAATTGTTTGTCGCCCGAAAAATAATAATAATAGCCGTCCTTCCCCGCACAACCTTAGTCGATTTCCGGGGTTAAAAGTCACTTGTAACGGGGTGAATTATAAAGTATTATTATATAGGACCAGTCTCTTAACTAATTCAAACCTGCGTGTTGTCGCCGACAGGTGTCTGAAGACAGCCAGGATCTTAGCATATCAAAAACCTGCAGGTCAATAGCATCGCCGAGAGGTGTCTAAGAGTCTAGATGCCCTAATTTTGGAAGTGGTTATTTGGGTTTTTACAACCCCGATGGTAAATGCCCCGTGGAACTGTTTTGTCCGTCCGATCTACAGAGTTTAAATTTGACTCTTTTATAAATAAATTCTGCAATTATTATAACGAGGCATTATCAGACACTTAATATTCAAGACAAACCGGTATTTCCAACATTCAGTCTACCGTTAAAGTTGCTAAGGCAACAACGTTTCTTCTTCGTCAAGACAAATATCGTTCTTTGAATAAGGGAAACAAGTTACAAATACATCGGACGTAAAAATGATAAACTTTTGACTGTTTAAAAAGTTTGTGGCAGTACCTACCTACGGGAATAATAAGATGCTGTTTAAAGCTGTATTTCTATTGTTCGTTTTAAACATTTTTGAGGTTAAACCAGAGGAATATGAAAACGAACATCATGAGTTTGTATCTGCTGTATTGAAGAAAAACAAAAGTGATCCGAACAGATTTACTTTTGCTGGCAAACACTATTATGTTGCTAATATTTTTACGGTAAGCCAGCGGTTTATTTTAATTTTTAAATTACATAAAATAAAAGGGTGGCCTTAATAAAATTTTAATAACTACATATTAAGAGATAAATTTTTTTGTGACGAGAGTACAATGTATTGCATGTTCTTTTGTCTTGTAGTTAAAACTAGATATGTACAACGTCATATTTTAAACCTTTCATAATGTGTCTTTGATATGAATGAAAAATTATATATTATAAGTTATGTAATCATTTTTATTATACTGTGTGACCCAAAAATAAGGAATTTTGATTTTTAAAAATGTTCAAATAAGTTAAATTTTTTAAATTTCTCCCATTTTGACATATCTTTCGGATATACAGGGTGATGCGTGTAAATAATATTATTTTTATATTTTAATATCCAGTGCTTATTTTTACGTGTTAGGCATACGACTGGTATAGAAGTTAATAAAATGGCAACAGGGCAACAGCCAGTCGTCGACTAGAATTAGAGGATATAGTGGTGGGATATTAAGGTAAGATGTTTTACTTTGCAAAAGTGCGACATGCAAAAGCGACGTACGATGAACTGTGGCAATGCAGATTGCAAGTACTGTAGCAAAACGTTCGGAGCAATAAAATTTCCATTTTATATTTATCGACAACATGTCAATGCGGCATGCCGCGATGTCGCAATATCGACGCCGCAGGTCAATAGATTAAACAACACATTCATTTGACTACTGCTACAATGACTTGCCGGCACACATTTGTGTGAAACGTCGCTATCGCATGTCGGAAAGTAAAACACTACTAGGGATGTTGCGATTTACGATACTACTAATATGATACTGGTATCGATACTTTTCTTTCGATACCGGGTAATTTAGTACCCGATACTACTACTTTCGTTTCAATATTTTACTAGTTTTGACTTTACGATAAAAAGAAAAAGTATATTGTAGGATCACTCTATGCTATGTCGGCATACCCTATGATCTTTATTTTTTTTTTGTTGTTCTACACTCTTCCCAATATCGGTATCGATACTTTCGTTCCGATACACTTTCGATACCGGTATCGATACTTTGGTTCCGATACTCTTTTCGATACCAGTATCGATACTTTACTGGTATCGCAACATCCCTAAATACTACCTTTAGCCGAACCAAATGTGAGGCACAAAGCTAAAGAACATAGCGATAGCGGGGATGTCGTAGTTGTCACATGTTTGCCATGAAAGCACACTTCTTGTGTAAATTACAGTTCATCAAATTTCTAGAGGTGTTCGACGCCCAGACAGAGAACAATTTATTTTAAATAGTTTTTAATATTTTTAGGTAATTAAATTTTAAAAGTGTGGAATAGTTTAGGGATTAAATTGGTCTGATTGGACTTTCTTAGAACGTTTTTAAAAGCAGCTAAAGATAGTATGTAGAATTGAAAATAATTATTATGCCATAAAAGGTGTTTTGGAATTCCTTCAACCTTTTGAAATTGAGTCAGAAAATATAAATTTTATAGGATAGCGGAAAATACCTATAATTTTTTTGTAGGCCTTTGTAAATCGTGGAAATAGTTTATATTTTATTTCTACCTTATTAAAGAAAATGGTACCTATTATTAATAACGGTTGTTTCTGAAACATTACTAAAATTTTCGAAATTTTGTTTTTCTACAAAATAATAAACTATACTATTTAGAAAAAAATTTATTTCTCTTATAATTTTATAAAAAATAACAGGGGAATATTTACATTTCTTGATCTATTAAACAAAACGATAAATTATCTCGACGAATGACACCATGTTCTAGTACGGAAGCTAGCTTTATATTTTTGTTGGTGGTTTCATGGGTTTCATATCAATTTTTTGTAATTGTAGTTTACACGTACATATACCTCTTAACACTTGTTTGCTTTATTAAAAAAGTGTGTTGTGATTTACGTCGAAATAAGTCAAAAACAACTTGAAACCCCATATAAAATCAAAAAGGAGAAACGGAAAAAAATTGAGCCTGTAAATGAACACAACTCAGAAACAAAAATAGCTATGTAATAATAAAAAAATAAAATTTGATTCTTGTGCAGCTTCATCTATATCATTAACTGTTTTTGGTTTTTTAATGGTTTTTCTTGGTGATGAAAATTCCGATATCTCACGGTTATCGATTCTTTTTCTCTCTCCAGAAATGCGGACGACAGTGTTTTTAGATACTCCTGTGGCTGCAGCAACACGATCATTTACATTTTTAAATGGTATTGAAGGTAAATTAAAGTTTCCTTCTCTTCTCATAAACTCTATAACATTGGCTATTTTTTCGCGAGATTGACAGTTAATCACGCGGCCTCTTAATTTGCTATGTTCTATTGCTAGGTTCTATTAAATTGTAATGAGCAAAAAACACAAACGAAAATAAAAGAAATGTTTTAGCGAAATTTACATCTGACATTTACGTCTGAATGAAATAGTGAAATACTTGATGCGCAGAGTGTACTTTCATTGCGTAAATCCGTCGGGATGCCTGTCAGTAGTGCTTTCTCTGTCTAGCCGTCGAAAGCCTCTAGAAATTTGATGAACTGTAACATGGGAAATCGCTTAGGTTCATTCTGGCAATTTTTGTCTCTTCAAAATCACACGTCGAGATTCGAAGTCGGGGTTATCAGTAAACATGATAACGTTGGCTTGCGGTTAGATAACGTCCCTCCCCCCCCCCCTCTATGGCACGCCTAAATGGTAAGAGAGAAAAATTAATAGCGGGACCCTAGGCCCCATCTAAAATGATTTTAAACCGCACAATTTCTCCCCTCCTACTTTCTAAATTAGACCCGAAAGTCCTACACCTTTGGGTTCTGGAGATTTTCGATCCAGCCCCCTCTTCACCATCAACACACGGTTGAGTAGAGGAACAAAATCCAAGACTTAATCCGATTTTCGTTACTACCTTCCCATCCCCCTCAAAACAGTTTACAATTGATTTTATAACGTATATTAATGATTGGAACGGTATTATATTGTCTGGATGTTCTTTGGTAGGAACCATTATGCTGCCCTGAAGGGCAAGTCATATCCCTCTCCATAAGTGTAAGAGGGCCGTAAATTTTTTTTTTATAATTAGGGTAATTTTAGGTATTATTGTATAGATAATAATAAAATAAGAAAAATTATTTCTCCACCTATTTTTTCGATACCTTTTCTGGGCTGTTAATGATTATTTTCGATATGTTTCATGACAGGGTGCAAGCTGATGTCGAATATAGTAGAGCGATGGGGGTAACCCATACCCTACCCCCTTTATAGAGGCCTCAAGAATATCCTAAAAATTAAAATTTGTAATTTTTATTGTGGGGGTGATGTAAGGTACCAATGGCCGAGTTGAATCAGATCCATTTTGGATCTCATCTCCCCCTAAAAAAGAAATATTATTATGCGTGTAATTCATGGGACCGACGGGCGAGGCTTTTGGTTCCCCATACCACCTAACCATTATTCAAAAGTCGTCATGACTGAAGGACGAACGTTTTGGTACCAAAAATTTTTCCCTGAGCTCGTGACAATTTTTTTTTTATTTATATACTTTCTTCTAGCCGTCTAGTACAATGTCAAATAAAATTAAATACAATTTAAAACTAGCAGTGGCTAATAATATAAAGTAAACGGAAAGAAGATGAAGTGTCAAGAAGAAGAAGAAAGTGCTCATTGCTCACTAATCAGAATTGATTTAACAAAAATGGGTTTGATATCAATAAATTAGGGTTTTTATATTGTGATTTTATTGAAATTATTTTTTATCTAATTATAATTAATTTTCAATAATGATTATGGTCGAATTTCGACCACTGAGCAAACACCAGTTTATTTAAAATTAAAAAAAAAAAAAAGAAAATATTAGTCAGGTGACCGAAATATGAACTGTAATTGGTGGATTTTATTTTTTTGTAGTGTTCTTATTTGGTAGAATGGATATGAAATATATTTGTTGAATTTAACGCAGTGGCATACTTTTTCGTTATGTAGCTTGTGCGTAGAATACCTTAAATCCATGTGGGTGTAGAAAAAAGTATTAATAATTCTTTCCAATTAAGTTTAGCCACCTTAAAAATATTTTTATTTACAACCATATATATAATGCTGTCATTACTAACGTCATTGAAGGTTGGGAAGTGTCACATTACACACCTCTACTTCCCGCTCTCATTTCCCGCCTTAATTTCATCTATTCTAGATGAATATTTTTTATATTTAAAAAAATAACAAATTTTTTTTATAAATTTTATAATACCAATTTAATGGCAAATAATGAAAAACAACAATAAACTAAAATACAACAAACTACTTATTGATATTTAATGTTCGCGAATTTAATATCCGAGTTTATCTGACATTTATTTATATTGGTGACAATTGTTTACTCCAAAATCACGGTACCAATATATTTTCTTGATTATTCTGAGAAAACCACGCGCTTGGTAATTTGTCGTTAAATGTAATATTTTAGGTATGTACAGAACGAAACAAAGATTTATTAATTTTGATCGAAATATGATGGTAGTAAATAAAATGTGGGAAGTTTAATTCCTGACTCGAGATCATAGCTAACCTCACGACAGGAATGAAACTCTTCCCACCTCGGTGTGTAATATACTATTCTATACCCACATGGATATTAGCTGATCTACACACAGATTACAAAACGAAAAAGTATTCGATTGCATCCAACTAAACGAATATATTTCATATCCATTCTAGGTAATGTGAACACAGTAAAAAAAATGAAATCCACCAGTCACAGTTCATATTTTGGTCACCCAACTACTATTATTTTTTAAAATTGGAAATAATTCTATCAAATTAATTGTCAGTATATTTTTTAGTAATTCAGATTAAATATACATTAAAATGAGTTATTTTTGTGTAGAATCGATAAATAGTAGCTTTTCTATTTTCGTTTCGTGCCGATTTTGAAATAAATTTAAAATGTTAATCAAACTATATGAAACTAATTTAATTACGAGTATTAAAAATAAATTCTTAAATTTGGCGGTATAGGTGAGGAGACGGTGTCTCTTATCCACGCGGGAGACCCGCGTTCAAATCTTCGCCGGGGACTAAAAAAATTTAAACTTTTTTCTATTTAGTAAAATTCATAAATTATTTTAAAATTAGTTTTGTAGATTTTCATTAATAGGTCGTAGAAAAAATATACTGTACAACTCCAGTGGATTGTCCATATCCACTCTTGTTGCACAAACTACTACTGTTTATTAGTTTTAAATAAAACATTATTTACTTTTTATTTTTGTTTCTACTTTTAGGCAGACTTCTACAAGGCAATACAATTCTGCAGACAACAAAAAATGCAGTTGTTGAGCATTAACAGTAAACTGGAAAATGACAGGATTGGAAGATTTATCGAAGACAACGGTAAATGAGTATATAATTTCTATAAATAATTTGAAATTTCTGATGAAAGTGATTTTGATCCTATTACCGATCTTTCTAAGCACAATATCAAAGGTCCAGATTCATTTAAATTATTGAGATAGTTTTGTATATTTCTCTATATTTGTTTTCAGTATTGATGTGTTTTTCACCATTACTACTGGAATTATTGAAAAGATTAGAAAATAATTTCGCACAAAAACCAGGTTTATTTAAATCTTTTTAATTAAAAATGTATTTATTCTACTGCTGTTAAAATTAGAGGTAACATCATGACAAATCCTTTAACCTATTATATACTAAATTAATGCATAAAGAAAACTATATAATATTGTTCTTTGAGTTTAAAATTTCAATAGTAATAAAAATATTCTAAGTAGTTACTGACCAACTTAATTACTTACACATTTATCAATTTTTTTAAACAATATTAAAAAACAGACTTAAGGATTTCCTAAACAAATGCAATATACAGACCCATTTAGACCCATTTATTTTTAAATTATCAGGTGATAAAAGATCTACTTTGGGACAAAATTTAAAATATTTATTTTAATTTTTAGAGTATAATACGATACTTTTTCGTAGTCGAAAATGGAGAATTTTTATTAGCGATTTTTTTTTTATTACTAAATTAAGAGTGCCTTCTAATAGGCGAGACCAAAATTTCAAAAAAATATAATTAATAATAACGAAGTTATGACCACTTAAAATTCGAATACTTACTAAGGTAACAGTCACAAAAGAACACTTAGATTTAACAGATATTCATGGAAATTATTATTTTTTCCAATAAATGTAACAATAAATCACCACTGGATAATTCAAAAAGCATAAACACTTAACGAAAATACTTAAAATTACATTTAACTTTACACAAAATTAAACTAATCAAATAAAACCTAATATTATTTCAATTTAAATCTTAGTTGCCGTAAAGATGATGCTACTGTTTGACATTTGTGAAGTAGAGGCAACTAAGATCTAATTTTATTTGTTACAGTTAAGTTTGTTAAATTATACAATTTTGTTATTGGTTTCATTAAACGGTTATGCCATTTTAAACATTTAAACATTTTTTTCATGTAGTGCTGGTTTATTGTTAGATTTATTAGAATAAATAATTTTCATGGCTATCTGGTTGTTACGGGTTCCAAATAATAGTCATATTTAACTTGTAAAGATAACAAATAATGCACCATATTTTTCTATTATGATTAAATTATTTACTACCTTCATGATTGATTATTGGAAGAGATAAATAAAAAGGCATCACTTACTTTTATAATTATTAAAACACAATAGAGACCACTTAAATATTTAATTTAAAAAAGTCCATTATTTTGTTTTTTATATTCTAGAATATTATTTCTTTTAATTTTACTATTTCTTTTTCTTGTACATTTCCTCGTTTAGGCCTCTAATGTATAAGTATGTTTAAATTACTTCTTCTATTTCATTAGGGCCTGCTTAAGGAATTAACAAACATTTCAAATGACATGACTGACCAGTGGTCACACTGATTTGTCCTTCAAGCTTCCGGTCATTTCTGCTTTGGATTTTGGGGTTAGCAATTTGAAGCATGTGCTTCTAACCAAAATCGAATTTTATTTCGGATATTTTAGATCCAATAAAGCAAATCATCTCTGTAAGAAAAGGAGATACTATAATCAGAAGTCTGATATAACATTTTGTGGATTTTTCTTTCTTTTACCTCTTTTCATCTTTCTTAAAGGCCAACCAACACCACATGGTAAGTTTTCTGTGATTTCTGTGGTTTCTGTCTTTCATTTTATTCTGTCTAACGCTTTTATTTATACTTTCCATTAGGCCTTCTTATTTTGAGTTGGTATTCTTTTACTGTAAATACAATAAATATATTTTATGCAGAACCAAAGTAATTGGAAATAAACCTATCTAATCGCTGCTACTGCCCTGGCTTTCCATAAGGTACCAATAAAGGTACAGTTACACTAGGATTATCGCATGTTATCATCACTCTACATGGAACACTGGAATACCAAGTAAGACGGTTCATATTTAGCTATACTTGTCACGAATTGCTGCTTATACTCTCTTCGTTCTTCACTCTTCGGCTTCTTTACTTGACCAAACTGCATGCTGAGGCTTGGACTTTTCTTTCTTGCAAACTAAGTACCATTAACACTTTGTAATCAATGCTACTGTTAGTTTATTTTATATGATTAACTATCCAGTAATATAGGCATTTAAAGGGGTTTACTCTTAATTGTATTGCGATTTATGTATGTATTGATATATAAATTCCTGACGTCATCAAATTTATGATCTAAATTGAACAATACTGGGGTGGTGAAGTGTCTGGAAATTAAAATTTAAGTTAAAATCAAAATGTCGGGGGTTTTTGTTGATTTTGGAATAGAATGTCAGAAAGAAATTAGATGGTCAGGAATTGTCAGAGGGGGTATTATATAAGAATTGTTGGAATATGGAATATGTTAGGATTTTAATTATGTTGGATATATTGTTAGTTTTGATTGGGAAACTGTAAGAATAAAATAAAAAAATATAAACAAAGCTTTTTTTATTCAAAAAGTGAAAAATATACAACATCAAAGATAAGCAGTGATAGACAGGGATTAACAGAGACAGAGCTGGTAGCAGCAGATACAGGTGGAAGCAGAGACAAATACAAGCAAGCCAGGAAAAAGAACAGGTAGAGGCAGGACAGATACACACAGGTAGAGATTAGCAGAGGTACAGAGTAGTAGATAGATAGAATCGAGTAGATAGGCAGAGACAAGCGTACAGGTAGAGGCAATAGAGACAAGTGAAGATAAGGAGCTAACGGGAAGAGAATACTGAAGAATTTAAAGTTTAATTTTTAAGCTATTCCATAGCTTTTATCGCGGGCTATGAGCGCGGCGACCGAATCAAGAAATTCCGTAACACCGTAACGAAAAAAAACCTAACACCCCCCACTCCGACCGGCACTGCGGTGCGGCGTTAAACAATATAAACTTCTCATTTATTCAATAAAAGAAAATCGAAAAATCGAAAAATCGAAAAATCGAAAAATCGAAAAATCGAAAAATCGAAAAATCGAAAAATCGAAAAATCGAAAAATCGAAAAATCGAAAAATCGAAAAATCGAAAAATCGAAAAATCGAAAAATCGAAAAATCGAAAAATCGAAAAATCGAAAAATCGAAAAATCGAAAAATCGAAAAATCAAAAAATCGAAAAATCGAAAAATCGAAAAATCGAAAAATCGAAAAATCGAAAAATCGAAAAATCGAAAAATCGAAAAATCGAAAAATCGAAAAATCGAAAAATCGAAAAATCGAAAAATCGAAAAATCGAAAAATCGAAAAATCGAAAAATCGAAAAATCGAAAAATCGAAAAATCGAAAAATCGAAAAATCGAAAAATCGAAAAATCGAAAAATCGAAAAATCGAAAAATCGAAAAATCGAAAAATCAAAAAATCGAAAAATCGAAAAATCGAAAAATCGAAAAATCGAAAAATCGAAAAATCGAAAAATCGAAAAATCGACAAATTGAAAAAGAAATTCCGTAACGAAAATAAACCTAACACCACCCACTCCGACCGGCACAGCGGTGCGGCTTTGAAAGCCGTGCATCGTCTAATGTCGTTTCAGTTCGGCAGACTTCGGCACGGTGTTTGTGTGCGAGCGACTGACCGTATGCATGTAGACTAGCTGCTAACTGCTTATAACTGATCTTATATCTTTTAGACACAATTTCGGAAAAATTGAATTTTAAAATGAATAATGATCCACAAGAATCCACAACAAAATATGGGACGACCATTGACGCGGTATTTTCCAGATATTTAGAGGATATCAAGTTTTAAACTTATGTTTCTTATTTTAGTTACCATAAACCTATAGTTTCAATGATATAAATTCCTGAATAACCTACATGTATTGTAAGATAAAAATATTTTAGGCAATATTAACTTCTCATTTATTCAATAAAAGAAAAAAAATTGTTTTCTTATCGGTCACCACGCTCAAAAAATGTAACTTGAATTAATATAAAAAAAAACTTGAATTAATATCAAAGAAAAAAAATACTGCATAAATAAAATAAATAAATAATTATAATTGCATAAGTTTATAAAAAATGCTATGGAATAGCTTTACCGCGGCAGTCCCCGAGTGCCACATGTATTTTTTTATTTATTTATTAAATTTGGCAAATAATATTTTTTTTGTAAATTTTTTAGAGTCGTACCACCCCTTTTTAAGAGTCTGGGCAAATTTATAAAAAAATAATATACAGGGGATTTCTATATCAGTATATTAATTATTTCGTTCTTCACCATAAATATTGTTAACGATTGGTACCAATTGGAGTAGTAATTTTATATCTATAACTGGCAATACCTTACTTTACTTTCTACTTTACTTTAAACTTTAACCTTCTTTTCTGTAGCTGAACTGTAACCTTTAATTATTCCACGAACCTCTCTTCGACGACAATTTTAAGTAAATTTTAAAGCTAGTCTAGCTACAACTGTTAGGAGCATCACAAGCACCTTACATGTTGATACTGAGTGTTCTTTTTTGACCGTTACCTTAGTAAGTTTTCGAATTTTAAGTGGTCATAACTTGTTACTAATAATTATATTTTTATTAAATGTTAATCACACCTATTAGAAGGTATTCTTACTCCAGTGGCGTAGTAATGTTCTTAATAAAAAAATCGGTAATGGAAATTCTCCATTTTTGACTACGAAAAAGTATCGTATTATTCATATTAATGAAAATTTTCGATTTTGTCAAAAATAAACGTACTTTACTCTTGAGCAAAATTCATATTTTTTGACAAACCTCGTATACGGCTTGAAAAATTTGATATCTGATAACTGTATTTTAAGTTTTGGGTCATGCAGGACATTTTATCAAGAATAACTTTTTTTTCCTAAAATCAATAATAAATATTTTTTCCATATGGTTCTAACTTAAGTAGACACACTGTATAAAAAAATTCAAAAAATTTAGAGATATTATTTTTTTTTCGGTCAAAAACAATTTTTTTATTAAAAGAAATTCAGGTACCCATTTTTTCGTTTTGACATGTAGTTTTTGATAAAATAAAAAAATTATAGTTTCATTAAAAAAAAAAATAAAAAACTGATTGCACCATTCAATTGTATGGAAAAACAAAAAAAGCAACTGTTTTTTATTTAATTGGTACAAAATCGCTAGAGATGCAGGATAAAATATTTGGATAAAACGCAAAAACAGGTCGATTGAGTTTTTTGTGTGATTTCCAATTATATTAAAAAAAATATCATCCCATTTAAAAAATGAAGCAGGGTAGGTTTCACCCCTTTTAACTTTTTTTTAATATGATAGGAAAGACCACAAAAAACTCATTAGATCTGTTTTTGCGTTTAAACCAAATATTTTATCCTGCCGAATTAGTTCCAGTTAAAGTCTCCACCCTGTATACAAAAACAAAAATTTTGGTCAAAAAATTAAAAACAGTTGCTTTTATATTTTTTAATTTTTCATAATTCATTGTTGCTATGGCCATTTTTTGTTTTGATCATTTTTTGAGCATGTTTTTAATTGGTGTCTTTATCAAAAACTACACGTCAAAACCAAAAAAATTAAGTATTTAAAAAACTTTTTTTAAAAAAGTGTTTTTAAGAGTAAAAAATGAATATCTCTAAATTTTTTAAATTTTTTTATTTAAAATTTTTTCCCCCCATTTAAGATATATAAAGGTATCATTTTATCAAATTTTATCAAAATTGAATAATTTTTGGAAAAAAGGAAAAATAAAAAACTAAAAGAAAACTTCGCACAAAGCTATAGAGTTTTGCTTGATCTACAATTTGCATTGTAAATTTTTGTTTTAGACGTCACCTTTTGCAGGAAATCGCGAATATACCATTTTTTACCCATTTTAAACCACCTAAAACTTTACTTCAACCGCCCCCAGGCTGTATTAAGTTTTTTATTTATTGTAAGCCCCTCTATCATTTACACTTATCAAAGTTCTGTTAACAATTTTTTTTTCTCAAAGTTTAATTTGACTGGACTAAAGGCGATCATCAACAAATTCATTTGTACTCCCAATATGCAGAAGTATTATTCGACGATCATTTTCAGTAAAAGCTTTTAATTCCGAAGACCAACCTACCATCAGTGCTTGACGAGAACTTTTAATTTTTCCTATTGTCAAACTATTGAAATAGTATGGCCTTTATTTACCTATGTTTCGTTCAAATAATTTATCTTTGTTCATATGCTTTTTGTATATAATCTAGGCCAACTAATACGAGTACCCAAAATGTTAACTTTTTAAAATCCTCCACACCCTTGTTTTGCTTATACTTGGCAATTCATAATCTCCTTGCACATATTTTTGCAATTGTTTTAAAGTGAGGCATTCGTTTTTTTTATTAAAAATTAATTATTCGTATAACAATTTTTACAAAAATGATCAACAACAATTTTTGAAGGTTTCCCAGAATTCTTTAAATGGTTCTAAATTTCTCCGTGTACTTATTTTTAATTACACTTTAATATCCAGAACACATTTTAACTAATAATGTTTTTGTTTTATTGGGTAATAATCATTTTACACCATTTTTTTTTCTAGAAAAAACTTGCCACTGTTTAAGTAAACAACATCCATTTGTATTAAATATAAAATAAATGAAGAAAAGAAAACATTTCAAATTACTACGAATCGATCTTAGAAATAATAGTTTTAAAAATACCAAAAGGCTAAACTAAACCTACAATTTAAGGTTTAGTAACGTTTCATACAGGTAGACATTTTATTTATACCTGATCCTTCAATGCTTATTTGTAGTTAAAATGAAAATTTTAATTAATCTGATCGGCCTAATAAAAGTTTTCGTTTAGATTTAATCATGTTTCCAAAAAGTTAAATAGAACAATTCATGGTTTGAAGAGTTAAAGGTATACAGTACGTAATGTTTTTTATTAAAAATTATTGGGCTAAGCGGTTTACAAAGCCATCATCATTCCTATCCTAAAAGGTATATTAACAATCGAGTGATAAAGAATAAAATTGGTTCTGTAAATCCGAAAGCTCTCAAGCTAAATTTTAATACAACAAAATATATTTTTTTATACACTGATCTATATGTCTTTCACTCTTAAATCCTCAAGTTTAGTGTGTGCAACATTCCTAGTCTTTTCATTAAAACAGTTTATATTAAAAATAACTATTCTTGTAAAAGTTTGAGCACTTATTATATTTTATTACTGTTTATAGGTATGTCACGTGGTCATTTCTGGACTTCGGCTTCAAATCACGGAGGTGACGGAGAATGGGTATGGTTGTCTACCGGTCAAAACATAGTTTACACCAATTGGTATCCTGGGGAACCCAGCGGAATAAGTAGGGAAAATAACACCGAAAATTGCATAGAAGCGCGACACTTTGGATCACATGGATTTACGTGGAACGACTTACCATGTCATTTGAAAGCATATTTTATTTGTGAATCTAATTCTGATTGCGATTAGAATAAATACAAACCTAAGTCAACTCGTCTTTTTATTATTGTCTACAGGGCCTCAGTAGTGCATTCGTTTCGACGAAAATATTTTCTTGTCCCCACTTTTTAACCGACTTCAAAAAAGGAGGATCTCAATTCGTCGGAATATTTTTTTTCTCTTGAGAAATAGACAATATTTGATCTAGTGAAATAGTCGTCGCAAATATAAAACGACCTTCATTATTATTCTGCAATTTTTGTTGTTGCTAAATTTTTCGAACATTTTACAATTTGATTCTACCTAATTTTGAAATTAAGAATCAATTGATTAAAACCCTCGAGCTAAAGCTCCCGGGCTCTAATCAGATTAATAATGCCAAAATGATGTTTCATCAAATTGATAATTAAATATTCTCGAGATTTAGATTCAACAAAAATAGCTGACTATTATCAAGGTCTTGGTATATTACCCTTGGTTATTTCCCTCGCCTGTCAATTTAAATAAATCGATTATTTTCACTGACTATTTCAATTCGACTATCCATGCATGATGCTTGGATATTCACCTCTTCGAGCATATATTTACTGGAGCCATCGTCCAAATGGACTTTGTTTTGGTACAGGGGGGAAAATAGTGTCCAGCATTCCCATTGGTCTGTTTCGTTTTGCTTGGCAAGTCAAATCGTTCAAAATTGACGGAACTGTCATTTCATTTTTGATTTTCATTAATTTTTAGCTTAGTTTTGTAGTTTATAGGTGATTTTTTGTATTTTATTACTTTACTGATACAAATTTCAACAATGGTAAGAGTTTGTGTAAGTTGTAAATAGAAATAAGAAAAGGCATCGTCAAGGGCATTTCACAAGTAAGTAACCATTAACGTCTCTACCATTTTTTAAAAATAAACATAGTACCCACATTTAAAATAAATGGTAAATTTAGTGACTTAAATTTAAAGAACTTGTAATATGTATGAGGAATATTGTTTTTGATTTTGGACTCTACTGAAAAGTTAAAAAAAATAATCATTATTTTTTAATATAAACAAGCTTTTTCTTTTTAAGTCATTTTATCATGATAATGTTGAAGATGTTAAATTAATAATTTTTGTTTTTTGTAGGTTTTCAGCTAATCCTGCCGAAAAAACGCATTTGGTGAAACATATTAAAACTGACTCCAGAAAACATTTCAAATAGTGATGTTTTATGTTCCAATCATTTTTCTGGATATATATTTATGTCAAAGAGTAGATGCGGAGGAAGAACTAGATTAATTCCAGGTACATTGCCATCAGGATTTACTGATGCCTCAGAAGAACATGAATCTTTTCTTGTAGGTTAATCGTTCAAAATTTTTAATTTTTCAGTGATGATCTGAAGCCTCTGTTGCAGAAAAAGAAAATGCAGAATTAAAAACATGTAAGTAACTAAGTACTTTTTAATACAACATACATTTTATTTTAAAATAATTATCTATTACTACATATATTTTTTATAAATCACAAAAATTGACAATAATTATTTTCTATTAAATGTACCTATGTTCTTTAATTAAGTAGACTAATAGTCGTTAAGAAATAAGCAAAACCTAATGTGAGTTTTTCAATAAAAAAGTCATTTTAAGCTTCTTTTATTTGCACTCTTAGTCATTAAAAAATAATTGAAGCTTGAGACAGTTTTCAAAAAAAATGAACGAAGCTTTACTTATTTGTTAACTACTAGCAGTGTAAATGTAGCTTGATTTCTATTTGTAGTATATCGTTTAGTAATCTATTGAACATGCATTGGTTACGAACAATATTTGTATATTTAATAAATTATTGGAAAAAGTTCTTGTATTGTAATTCTCGTACACATGTGTTAAGAGATATCACCCATATTTGCATAATATACCTACTATTTATTTATATTTTTGATTTTTAAATATAAACTCATCTTTTTTATTGCCTATTATTTTAACCTTCATTTTTTCCAACACAAATAATAATATTAATAATAATAATAATTATTATTTACTATTACTAGATCGCTACCTACTTAAATAATGCAAGTTTATAAAATATGTGCATAATTTAAAGAATTTTGAAGGTATGTATCAAATTTATTATTTATATTAATTGCAAACCCCGTAAAAATGATGCGACACTGATAATAGTGTCTAGGCATTTCCCCTCATAACGTAAAGAAACCCTATTGAATGCGGACTCTATGAAATATATATGCTCGAAGATTCACCTACGTTGACAACAACTCTCATATTTGATTATAGGTATAATATTTAATAACGACTACTGTCTAATATATTTATTGTCAGAGTACAAGCTAATATCCGAGAATACCAATCAAGGAGAAGCGACACTAACTATCGGTGCCTTTGATATCGGCTGGACCTTTTTTCACAGCATATACACAACTTAATTCGCTGAGAAAACCTGCTTATTTTCTACACTGGGCGAAATATCTTGGTAAATTATCTAAAATTACTGGTATAGTCCATGCGAAAATGTTATAATGTGTTATTTACATTGAGGTAGTTGGGATAAATAATAGCAATGGTGAGATTTCGACATAAAAATATAATTCCTCATGTATTAATTAATTATTTGATACAAAAGTGAAAGACTTTTATTATTTTATAATTTATTTATCTATAAGATTTGTTCAATATTTAAATTATTTATGCTTAAAAATTAAATAAATGCCCCATATTTAAATTAAATTATCTTTTTCTTACGTAAAAATAAGTTAAATAAAATTAAGAGTACCAAAAAAAAATTCAGTAACAATTAAAAAGACATTAAGTTTGAGAGTTTACCTAAATATTTGCAAAGTGCATATATTTTCAAAGCAGGTTTATGTATTAAGAATTGAATACATGGCCTGGCTATTTATAACAAGCTAGCAGAGCACTTAATATTTCCTATAAAAAAAGAAGCGCAAAATTTTATAAGTTTGTGCAAAATTAGCCTATTTTAATTTTTTAACAAAAAACTCTACAAAGTCGTGTTGACAAGCTAGAGCAAGTAATTTTTCGGATAAAGGCCAGAGTAGAAATGTTTTTATGTTGATATAAAACTAACCTAAAATGAACCTAAAATTATGCCGTTTTCATTTTTTACAATGCTAAATTTTTTAATGAAAAACGCAATACGTGCATCTTGTTATGCCCACAGAGTACCTTATATTTCCTATAAAGAAAATAGCGAAATTTTTTTTAGTTGGTACAAAATTTGTCTAAAATGAGGTTAAAATTATGACGTATCCATTTTAGAGGTATTTAAATTTTGTAACGAAAAACTCTATAAAGTATAGTCAAGCTCCTAATTTTTCCATTAAAGGCAAAAGCGGAAATTTTTTTATGCTGGTATAGAATTAGCCTAAAATTATGTCATGTCTATTTTTTAGTTTCCTCAATTTTATTAACGGGAAACGCTATATAGTCATATTGTCAAGCTAGCAGAGCACCTAATTTTTACGATAAAGCCCAGAGCAGAATTTTTTCTAAGTTGGTTTAAAATTAGCCATAATTTTTGTTGGTATAAAATTGGCCTAAAATGAGCCTAAAATTGTAGCATACTCAGAATGTGAAAAATTCAAAGGTGCTCTGCTAGCTTGATACGTATGTGAAAGGGATAAGGCTTTGAAAAGCTCTAGAAATATAAAATCAAATGTTCATCTTCACTTTTACAAGGAACTACAAAATTAATAAAGCTAGTATTCGAAAAAATCTGCCTACTTATAGATTTAACAAAAGGCTAAAAGAAATGTTGAAATCATTGATATAAAATAAGATGTTGAGAATTAAACAAATAAATATTCTGAGTTATTTACATGCTGAGCCACGTGGAAAAAATTTTGCAGCTTTTCAAAATTTGGTATTAAAATTGCAGAACCTACCATAAATTCAAAGAAATTGGATGATTAAACATGGACAATAGAAGAGTATTATTGTACTCTGCCTGTTTATTTTGCAAATTCCTATAAAAAAAAACGATCTGCCTTCATAGAAAAATAACATTTTAGACATGTTCATAATTTCAATATTAAGAGTAACTACACCTTCTTTCAAACTTGAAATGTTTCGACGGTTATATCAGATCTACCATGTTTTCAACGTAATTTCCAAAAAAATGTAAATCAACGTATTAATTAATTATTGTTAAGAGAACTTTTATTTTATTATCAAAATACATAACATTATAGAGATATTATTTATGTTTCTGAGGCTCGACCTAAAAATTAAAAACTTAAATTGTAAATTAAAATAATTTATATTATTTTTATAATTTTTATATAGTACTGTACGATTTTAAGGACTAAGGTTTAAGAGCAAGTTTTCATAATCTGCAATATTATGTTACCTACCTATATTACCATGGTACTACTTCCGCATTGAAAATAATAAAGACAATATTATTATACTAATATTGGACACTCAAACCATAGAGTTTTGAGCTATAACACATCGAACTATGTACCAGAGCAATCGCATACAGAGGAATAGAAAGAACTATATCCATATGGATGACTTAGTTGTTATCTATGAAAACTGCGGAGAGACAGATAGGGCAGGACAAAATCTCCATCTGCACAACCAAATGATGTGAAACCTAACCGTAGACGAACTTCTATGCAGGCTGTGTGATCTCGGCATACCCTGTCAAGGTTATGTCGACGACGTACTCATATGTGCTAGAGGACTAGAACACCAAAAGGTGGTGGATCAAGGTGAGACTTAGAGTATAAACCCCACCAAAACAACACTAGTAGCCTTTTCAATGAAAAGAAAACAATCTCAAAACCGTTAAATTAAACGGGATATATATGGAATGAAAAAAAAGAAATAAAAAATCTAGGCCTAACCCTGGACAAAAAAATTCTCTAAAACATACACGAGAAGATAGTAGTAAATAAGACCACAAAAGCCATCACGGTATGCAGGAACATTGCAGGTAAAATATGGGGTGTAACCCGAACACTCTGCGATGGTATACAGCACTAATTTAGTTACTACGAAAGCTAATGTCTCAAAATTACAAAGACTAGTCTAT